GCTGCGTTCGGGTCCTGCCTGGTTTCCTCTCATGCCTCAACGTTGCACGTTTCCAACTAGTCGAAGCTTCTCTGTTCAATTTAACAAGTGTCAAAACAAAGTGCTAGGTGACAGGACTAGCACTAGAGCCGTTGTACCATGCCCCCCGCCCCAAAGCGCAGCTTCTAGGGCTAGTGTAAGAGCAAACGCTCCATGCCCAGGTACAGTGGGGTTGCCTGCCATGGCACGGTTGGAGTCGGTGGGCCAAACTTGCACATTTAACTATGTCTCCTGCTGCCTGTGCAAAAAAGAAAACTGCAAAATGCCGTCTCGCGCAGTCAATAAATCAAGACATTGGCGTAGGCTGATCGTTCACAAAGCAGCCGTGTGTGTCTCTCTCTGTGTGTGTGTGTGTCCGCCTGTTTTCCTGTGTCTGTGTGTGCACTCAAAACACACATTGTTCCTTGTGCGTATCACAGACAAATGTTAGGTGAATGACAACAAAAAAAAACAACAAAAAAACAAAAACAAGCTTGGAGCTCTTTTGGGTTACTATATACTCACTATAAAACCTGCTGGTTGACCAGTGCATCTCTAGAGTTATTGATACACCTTTTTTTTTGCATGTGCAACCTGTGAACACTGGCTCTGGTGCTAACACATCCTCTTAGGTCCTGTTCATACCAGGTTAGCAAATTCTCCCAAGACATTATGAAAGGGAAAACCAAATCCTAAAAATACACCTTACCTTAAAGACAAACATCTCTCCTCGCAGCATGGCCACACTGTCGAAGTTCCCTTCACAGATGTTTGGACCGTAGTGATCTGGTCTCTCTGTTGTTCTAGGGGGGTCTGGATGTCGCGGCGGCGTTTGAGGGGGTCGAGGATCGGGTCGAGGATCGGGTCGAGGATCGGGACGGGGATTGGGTCGAGGATCGGGTCGACGGGGTACCACCGTTGGCAGAGCCTGGGTGGGGCCGCTATCTGGCAGACCTTGATGAGGAAACATTTTTTTTAGCAATATTTTTCAAAAATAAAAGAAATATGCCTATAAGATTTAACAAAATTTCTAGACTACACGTGTCAAACTCAGGCCCGGGGGCCAAATCTGGCCTGCAGTGTAATTATATTTGGCCCGCCTGATCAAATCAAATGTGTACTATAGTTGGCCCACCAGTATATATCCATTATATACTGGCAGGATTTGTAGTACTTGCAGTGTACGTACATTTTGTTTTTTTTTGTTGTTGGCCTGTGAGTTCATTATAAAGAACTCCAAAGGCTACAGATAAAGACTAAATAAGAAACAATATTTTATTTTATAATATTAACCTCTGGTTGTTCCAGATTCAATGTTTACTCAAAACTGAAGTTTGTTTCCATATGAAAAAAATATACATTACATATCTGGAGAGAAGGGAAAACAAGAACAATTGCCGTCAATTTTTCAATTAATTTAGATTTTGGCCTGAGACATTGTCCCAGTTTTGAATTTTGGCCCACTGTGAATTTGTGTTTGACAGTCCTGACACTAAAAAGAGTTAAATGTGTAAGGAAGGAAGCAGTCTATAAACTTTAATGATCTATCAACCCTCAGATGTTACTAATGAATCATGTTATATCCTATGCTTCATGTGATATCTTTACAGGCCACAAAGAGGAGTGCTCTCTGCCTTAAGGCAAGACGTATGAGCCGCAGCTATAACTAATGTCTCTCCCCATGAGTCATCAGGATGGACTATTGAACGGTCATAGGTGAAAGTTTAGCCTGTTCACTGGTGGAATTCATTCTGACTTAAACTGGATTAATAAATAAAAAAAATGAATTTATATTTCATTTATTAGTTACCTTCTATGAAATTCAAACCCAGTTATTGCTATTCCCAAACTTCCCATTGAAGACATTTGGATTCTGACACAAGGAATTTGAGGAACATTCTGAGGAGGAAAAACTGAACAGCTGCTGATTTGAATTCGAATTGGATAATTTGTCATGATGTAACACGCTGGACTTGAGTGAGGTCCAAACTACCATAGATCTGCTGAATCCCTCGCCGGTCGTCTTCCGGCAGCTGAAAGTTCTCAGTTTCCATCCACTGGTAAAATGGAGCCATGATAGCCATAGGATTGTTGGAGTGTTCCAAACCCAGAGCATGACCCAGCTCGTGAATAGCGACCAAAAACAGGTCATTACCTGAGTGAGCAAGACAGGTCATATACAGGTAAGACGGATGGGACGTCCTCACACGTGAAGCACAATTCTATTAAGCTGATGAAACGTTATTAATTACAAATTCAATAAATTGGGATTTTTTTTGTTTGTTTAATCTAGGCACTGTAGAGTTTACTCTGACTTTTAAGGTCAACTTAAAAATGTTTAGGATTTTTACAATTCTTTTTCCCCCCCTATATACCGAGACATGAGATCTTGATTAAACAACACTTTGTGTGTAAGTTTAGAGCTAAGTCGGCAAATGTAGTGACACACTGGATGTTAGCCTGATTGTGTAATTATGGCCTTCTATAATATATGCAGTATATTTCTCCGGATCAACTTTAAATAAAGCCAGAGGGATAAGGATGTGCCTTGACAGGACAACTCTTTTGTCCACACACCATACATTCTAAGTCACATGAATCACCTCATGGCGTGTTATGCTGCAGCTAACAGAAACCAAACAGAGGCAAAGACAGAAAGAGTGGGGGTAAGAGGGGGGGAAGAGAGAGATACAGATAAAAAAAGGCCTTGGTAAACATGAAACCGCAACAGTTAACACTGTAGAGCAAGGCGGCGGTTGGAACAACACGGCGGTACTAACGTTCGACTCCTTTCTTGCTTGTTAATGGTGACTCACATTCACACACTCACTATTCATCTGTGACCAGGGCAACTCAAAATAACCATCACCATGAGAACTGAATGCACTTGCTTCCAGGAACTGAAATAGACTAGTCTGACTGTGTAATTTCGCAGGACCTGGAGGCTGGCTGTCAGTGAAAACATGGCTGCCGTGATAAACTGATTTCAGACAAGTAAGAATGGGGTCATAGCTTTATACTTCTGTTGGAGAGGCCTTATCAGGAAACTTAAAGAAGACGTGAACTTCTCCTGAACCAGTTTTTAAAAAATTGTTAATTTTAAGAAAAGTAAAAGTAAAATAATTAGTCGGAAAATCTGACATTCTCCAGGTCAGGGGTGGCCAACCAGTCAAGAGGCTAAGAGCCACAATTTTTACTGCGTTACTGCAAAGAGCCACATGATATACATGGGTACATGGGAACTGCCCCAGTTAAAACTCTCCCAGTTTTTTAAATGTTCCTGTGTACATCTTATCATCTGTGCCAATTTTCCCTAAGTAATGTGGCTCAACGTCCATCGGCGTGAAATTGACATAGTGAAAAAAAAGACACGGACATAAAAAACAGTCATCAAAATTGCTATTACTATAAGCTGCTACTTTTTTCACACCCTGCGACTTAAACAATGATGCGGCAAATTTATGGAATTTACGGGCTAACGAAGTTCATACCACTACCGATCATTGACTTTTCTGGTCTACTGTGTGTTACACTAGTAGCGTATGTCTGTCGTATGTGCGTGGAGCACGAGAGAGAGAGAGAAAATGTTAGGGAAAGTTGAGAGCAGTTTGATCCCTGTCGTGTTGAAGCGTGCGTTGGTTATACAGGAGCTGTTAAAACTCTCGTTTATGTTCTGTTGTGCTCGGAGTGGCTGATAATAAAGAGACCCCAACTTCCCTGCTTCTGTTTACATCTGCTGCGAACAAGCACAAAGCGAGGGGGCAATTGGCACTTTAAGTGCAGCGCAGAGCAAATGGCCCCAGTGTAAGTGTGCCCTAAGAGTAAAAGGGCCGTCCAAAGGAACAGCTCTGTCACGAAGGCAAGGTCAGTTAAAAGCACAGAAAACACGGAAACCACAGACACTCAGTGAGATTGATTTTTGCTCTTAATGGTGCATCCCTTTTTTTTTTTTTTTTTCATGTGCAGCTATTGATCCTAAAAGTGAAATCTAGTTATGTTTGCCCGCCCACCCAGAAGAAAGTGGAGGTTGAAGGTCAGAGCTGATCTTGTTTGGTGAGCGAAGACAAACCAGATTCGATGCACTCATTGCAACGTGAATGTCCTGGTAGTTAGGACAGTTGTTTGCGTGTTGTCTTATAATACTCTAGTAAAAGCTGGCGTAGAGTCTGTACTAATGTTTACTGGATGGGTTAAGTACAGTGGACAAATTCTGTGTGTGTAACATTTAGACGGTGAGTATTTCGAAATTCAAATTTTTCAATAATCAAGCCTACTTTAAGCGTAAACAACATTTTGTGACCGAGCTCCAAGCATCCTGGAAATATGGAAATATCAACAATTAATCCCAACACACTGCATCAGCAGTATCACCAAAATCCGCCCAAAACGTACTGTATATACTCTAGTTTCCAGATGCAACACCACTGTTTTTGCTTGATGTTATTTCTTATTTATTTCAGATATGGAGATAAAAAGGTACTTTACCAAGAAAGACATTTCTTGGTGAAATTAACAGATTTCTAACAGTAACAGTAAAGTCTAAATAAAAAAATAACACATTCAAATGAACTCGGTTGCTTCAGTGAATATACAAGTGCTGTGTGCATGGAATCCATACGACTTCTTTAGACTCTGACCGTGAAGTTAGAGAAGTGTTGTTGTTTTTTTTTCTGTCCCTTTTGCTTCACAGTCTGACACTGGCCCTGTGCACTGACAGCTCACAGTTCTAAAGACTTCAACTTGGAAACCCGTGCAGCCACACTTTTAAAATAGCCTGAACTATCGCTATAAGATAAGTCTAATTATATTCACCAGCACTTCCTCGGATTAAAATAATCCCTGACCGACAAGAGGCTTAAAGAAAAAAGTTAGTATTTAGGAAACTTAAAAGAAGTCGGCAAAGTCCTGCACCCATTAACCTCACTGACCTGAGGTATTTTCTTCAACAATAGACTTTCCTGCACTGTTATCTACACACACACACACACACACACACACACACCAGGTGCTGTGTGTCTGTGATCACAGCCTGTGGAATCCCACAGTAAGTGGAAGTGTGTTGCTGCACTCAGGAACAACCGCCGACTGCACTCTTTCTGCTTGAAAGCAAAGTGCAGCCAAATTACTATCTTGTCGGACACTTGTCGTTGGTTGGTGAGACTGTGCATGGCTCAGCCTTTCATGTCTTAAAAGGTGTCTTCTGTTAACATTAGATCTTCTTTGAAGACTGCCCTTAGAACAGGTCCATAACAGTTTTTAACCAACAATCAGTACAAGACAGCCACACCTTCAATGAAAATAATAATAATAATAATTGTTCAATAATAATAATTGTTAATATATTCAAATTTCATATATAAAATGAACAAAGAAGTTAGAGAAAAAAAAAACATATTCATGATGATCCATTGTATAGGTTTACTGCCTTATCCAGTCCCGCCAGGATTTTTGCAATATTTGCAATTGTTGCAGCCCAAAATGTATAGATTTGTGGGGTGTTTCTTTAAATGTTGCGAGGATTTTTAGTTTTTTAAAATTTCGCTTAAAAAGAAGTCAAACAAGAACTAAATATGTTCAATTGTATGTCAGTTTTAATAAATACATTGAACCTGAAACTAAACTTAACTTAAAATGTAGTTTATGTGGGTCGACCATTGTTATGGAGTTTACATTTAAATGCAAGCCTAACCTTTTCGTTTACATTTTATCGCATTAACGAAACACTAAGCTATGAATTGCAGTTTTGGTTCTTTAAAGTCCTTTAAAATGTCTTTATTTATGTTTAATAAACTGACCATTAAAGGCATTAGGTATATATTATATTATAATATATGTATCGCTATGTCACCCTTAGCGGATTTGTGCAGACAAACCTTTACTTTTCGTAAACCATGTCGAACAAATTTACTTCCTAGCACATTGTTTTCCAAAGACTGGGTCGTGACCCTCAGGTGGGTCGCAAGATTTTTTTGTCATCGCAACATGTCTGGTCCACCTCTGGTTATGTTTAAAACTTGAGCAATACTAATTGTTCAAATATTACTCGGTCAACAATAAAAATATCCTCATTTATGTTCAGTAATGGTCAAGTACACCTTTATTTTGTGATTTACGAATAATGTCTATTGACTTGGGTCGCAAAGGTTTTTGTGTCTTTTAAAATATGGATCCCAAGAAAAAAAGTTTGGGAAACACTGTCCTAGCAAATACTGCTGTTGAGAAGAAAGACTATCTCACCCTTACTTAAGGCACTATGAATATTTCATGAATTTTTTTTTTCTATTTGTTGCCATATTTTCACATCACATCGGAACGCTCCTTTTAACACTGGTTAGATTTACCTTGTACATTTTGGTTTCCTATTGTCCAGGGCTCATCGGAGTCAAAGTGTGTGTCTCCGCCCATACCAGGACCTGGGAAGTAGGCGTGAGCCAGGAATCCTCCCTCTCCATCAAAGGGAGAGCTGTCGCCATGAAAACCTGAGGCAAAGAAGATCATGATGTCTGGCTCTTTGCGACGGCCATATTTCACCTCCTGGTATGGGATCTCGTCGAATGTCAGTGGGGTAACCTTCTCCCAGACTTTAAAAGCCAGTCTGATGGCTTCAAATGAGTTATACTCTCCGATCTTAGGAGTGTAGTTTTGGATACTGTAATAAAAAGAGGGGAGAAAAAAGAAAAAATCAAACCCCGGGATTGTACTCCAATTCAATAGGGAAAACACATTCAACTTATATGTATGTATTGTATAGATAAAATATAATAGTGTGCTTAGGTGTACACAGTAGGTTTTGCATTTTTCTTACCTGTATGTGAGGTGAGTCCTGCTCCATTTATGTCCAGTTAGGGCGTAACGTTTCCGCCGAACATTGGTTTTGATCTGTCCTCCAAACTTATCCGGGACACCACACCGGGGTCGTTTCATGGCACTGAGAGGTGAAGTTAAGGAGAAATTGAAACAAAACATAAGCATGTGTGTGTGTGTGTGGGTGTTGGGGGGTTAAAATGAGTCCGTTTGTGCTAAAGGTACTAATCGAATATGGCTAAATATTCACCAAAGCATTGGGGAATTTTACAAAAGAAAGTGAGTGAGCCCATAAACAGCTCAATGCTATTATGAATATTATTTAAAAATGTAACATGTATACATGTAAACAGTTACAAACAGGGCCGAAAAATACCAAATGCTATTAATAATAAAGGCTGGAATTTAGGGAAACAGAGAAAAATCTACAGTGTAACTGTAGTAAAAGAAAATAAAAAATATATCCCAGAAAGGAAGCTAAAATATTTGGTTAAAGTAAAACACAAGTAGCTATAGATAAGAGAAGACAACAGCACATCCCTGCTGTAGGTGTGTGTTCCTGACCTGATGGTTTGAGAGTCCATCTGTCCAGTCACCTCCAGACCATAGAATCTCTGCATGTCGCTGATGGCGTTGGACAGGATCTGAGCCGACCTCATTGTAGACATCTGTCTGCTGACCTGAGGCAGGTAACCATACATCCTTAGCCATGACTGTGGAGACACACGGGAGGACAAATATAAACGCCAGAGTAGTCCAAAAAACGTAAGCGTACAGTTATTAATAGGGGTGGGAATCTCTGGGTAGCTCATGATATGACGGATGACTGTTACGAGGCTACCAAATATGAGCTGAACCAATGCAAATTTTAATAAGTATATTGGAGGGCAAACAATTATCACACTGTTTCTGAATGATGAAATCGCCCCCTTTGCAATATAAATTCAATAAAGTCAAGAAAAAAACTGGAAAAAAAAATTGATCTGGGGCGAAAAGTTAAACAATAAACAGTTCAAGGTAAGTTTAGTTACATTAGTTATTGTGAGTATTGCTGCTGTGTGGAGGTGGAGCTTGGGATTTGTGCGTCCAGCCCTGATTGGCCACTCCTTTGGCACCAGGCTTCACATTGTATACTCTGCCAACTTTCAAAATGGCCTATTCACCTTTCTTGATGACACCATTGCCATCACCAGCTATAGATTATCCTGAGTATTATTCTGTAAATTCTCCAAGAATCTCTTTTTTGTTGATCAGTTGAGCTCAGGTTAGCTCTCACTTTCTCACTCTCTCTCTCTTTCGCTCTCTGGTTTGGTTATTTTTCTGTCAGACTAGGTTAGGGCGCTACAATATTTTTGGTTGCTGAATCAACAATTGTGGTGCTGTTTTGGGAGAAAGAAAGGTAATCAGGCCTCTCCTTATATTAGCAGGAGCCGGGAGCAGAGGAGAGGGAGGGACTGAAGCAAGGGCTTAGCAGGAAGCCTGGCACCAGTAACCAGTGTTAAATAAAGACTGGTTAAACGTCACCCTTGTCAGTGTCTGGTGTCCAGAGTGAACCCACTTGTAACAGTGAGTGACAACGCGACGACTTGTACAGTATGTGAGTTCTGCTTCACGGTGATAATAGCGTAACACCACACTGTACAAACGGAACTCAACCCCTATATTTAAGATTACCGTATATACTCACATATAAGCCAAATTTAAAACACCAACAAGTAAAGATAAAATCGGAGGGTCGGCTTATATGTGCATAAATACCTGGGACAGCATTTTCCATCGATCGCATCATTACCGCTAATAAACAACAAGTCGAACATATGGTCAAAAATATCTTTACACAAATATCTTTACACTTATAAATAAATTCAATCCACACAATCTACAACTGTAGCACTGATTATAATGCAAAAAAATGACGTATATTCTGAATTTCGCAACAAACATTGGTGTGGCCATTTTGTCATTTTTTTTCCCCCAATATTATTGCAAATTTGGTATCGAGGCTAATGAGTATAGTTGTAAGACAAGAGCTGTGATTGGTCGGATGAGGGGTTTTCATATATCCGCACGCTACAGCGAAGGTTTCTTTAATAAGTGTATGTTATAAATACTACTCTGACACAGTTGCGATACACATAGTGATTCTGCAGTACATCATTGCGCGATCGTTGCATCTTCTCAATTTCCTCTTCTGGAAATAAAGTTAGCTTAATTAAAAATAATTAAGGGTGAGTAGTAGTCGAAGCAGCACAGGAATCTAACAACAACAAGCTGCTAATATTGGAATACTTTGAGCTTAAACATGTATGGAGGCATTACAAGGAAAGTTAATATTAGCACAAACACAAACATGCCAACAGTTCCCAAAGTTTGTAGTCTCGATTACAAGATCTTCGCAATTTTAACGTAAACAGTGTTTAGCAAGATCATTTTCTAATTTTTTTGTTGATGCACACAGCAGGAGTAAGACATTTTACCACGGCAAAAAATGAAAACATTATGGTCGGCTTATATGCGGGTTTTTGTAAAAAAAAAAATTTCAGGGATGTGCTTATACGCGAATTGGCTAATACGTGAGTACTGTATGTACAGTAAGTATGGCCAGATCTAACCCCATATAGCAGCTGTGATTTTACAGCAGGGGATCCAGGTAAAGCTCATTTTACCACGGAGCAAAGACTCAAACATTATCATCCTAAACCTGTAAAATCCCATGAATACATTCACTGCTGTGTCTGTGTGCGTGTGAGGGAAAACAGGTAAGTTGGTTTTTATGGCTTTGAAGGAGTGGGTGAGCAAACACGGAACTTTATTGTCAGGTTGTATTTTTTTGCTTTAAATGAGGGGCGTTAACATCAGTGCAAACACTGTGTGTGTTTGTGATATAAAGTTTCAGCGAAACAGGTGGGATAGACTTTGTGTAATCTCAGCTCGGGTCAAGTATCGTATTCTGTCACTCAGCTTCGGTCATTACTCAAATTAACAATGCCTTCACGGACTAAAAAAATGAGCTTCATACGAAACCACAACATTGGCCAATTTTCGATTAAAGCAGAAGCTTAAAGTTTGGTGAAGACGTTAATATTCAACGTAAAGAATATAAATGCCCTGCCACTGTTGTTGCAC